TAAAAGATGATTATTTTCACTTCATGCTCAACATTAGCCAGACAACATTCTCTTTCGTTCCACTCTAGCATTAATTAAAATAGTTCCCTCCTACAACATTTATTGTGAGTACAACTCAGCAAGGCAGAGTTGCTACTCATAGAGCTCATAGCCTGGAAGAGTATTAGCAGACTGAAGAAAGGCAGGGATCACTTGTGATGCCAGGAGGCAGTCTATGAAACCTGCCTCTTCACATACCTCCCAGATTCCTGAATGGAACAGGCTGGGGCATAGCCTGCACCAGCAGCTGAGAGCAAACCTGCATCTGTCCTGAGTTACAGAAACTTTGATATGGAAGAAAGGACTAACGGAGGAGAAGGGACAGCATGAAGGGGAAACAGCAGCACAAGTACCCCTCTCTGTGGTTTTCTCCCTTCTTCCTGTAAAGATACACAGCTCTTCTGTGGCCTAGCCCAAACCTGTGAAACTACAAACCTTCATTTCTGCAAAGAAAGGGCTTAAGCATTGCACATACACCATTACTGAAGTGCTGAAGTATGATTTGTCACCTGTGACTTCATCTCTTGACACAGTGAACTGTACTGGATACCTGCACTACTACCTGCACTCTACTGCATTAGTATGACCAAAGAACCAGTAAATAGAACAAGAGGTACTAAAAAGGTGGTGGTGTAATGTAGAGCTTGAAGTCTATTCAGATTATGTGCTAAGCATCAAGCTAAATCTTGATGCCAAGATTTTACTTAAAAAAGGCAAAAGGTCTAGCTAGCTAATTAACTTTGAACATGTTTTTATTGAAGAGAAAAAAAATAAGAAACAAGTTCCACAATTGAAGAGTAGATATGCTCTTCATTCAGCTCTTTGGCACAGCATTACATGCATCAGAACACAAACACAATGCATTAAAAGCAGCAAAGGTCAGTAATCACAGGTTGTACTAGGCAATACATTAAGCTCAGTATTATTTTTTTGCCACTCTGGTATGCCTGGACCCGTAAATTCTCCACTGTGTTTCTGTGTGCATTGCATAGTCTCTGAATTCAGAGATAAGAGACCAATTAAAATTGCTTCTCCAGTATTTTCTGTCTTTCATACAGTATGCAAGTGATGTTATTCCCCTTATGCCACCTGTGTACTGATGTTATCCACGCATGCTATCAATTTATGGAGAATAAAGTAATTGGAATAAAGGTAAATATTTAACTGACAGAAGTGATCCATCTCCACATTTTTTTTTAAATTAATCTAAACACTTCTAGTATTTGATAAAGAATGGGGTCAAGACCAGAAACATCACAGAACTAATGCTGTGTGCCTGCTTTTCTTAAGCCAGTCTTTCTTCTACTGCAGTATTAAAGACTCAGAACACCATGAAGCGATTTGCCATACATCTTTAATCACAGTACAGTCATGTAGTGTTTCTGCCTTTAAGGAATATTCTCCAAGTCACCCTTATTAATGAAAACTAAGTAAGTGCCAAAAAGTAAAATTACACTGCATAAACAACAGGATGTAAATTTATCTTTCAGTGTGTTCAAGCAGCTACTTGCGTATGGTCCGAAAAACTGTAACTGAAGTTTTGGAGAATTGCAACCATGTTCTAGCTGTAAGCTACATGCAGTTCACATCTGAATGTTATTCAAGGCAGCTGAGTTTCCTCCTACTGTAGCAGCAGCCAATAAGGAATGAAAGTCACACTAAAGGATCCTCTTGCCCTAAATTTGCAAAAGCAACATCCCCACTCAGTTTAAAGGGAAAACAAATTTCAGAAAGATTGCCAGTGTATTACAAGCTAATTAAAAAAACAACAAAACAAAAAACAGATGCCTGCAAGTATCCTCTAGTGGGATTAACTTCTTTAAATAATACAGCTTTTTGAGCTGACTAAGCTTTAAACAGGCTGGATGTATTTATTTTACAAGCAGCACAAGAAAAATCAAATACATTACTTATGTGTTCAATTTTCAAGCAACAGGTTCTAAGTAAAAACTGTATTCACACCTTCACTTTTACAATTAATACTGCCACGCAAGTTTCTCTGCTTAGTAATAATTTCTATGGAAATCAGAAACTTCTTTAGGCAGAATACTAAATTTAATTACAAAGGTGCTTAAAACAGATGTATACAAGGTAAAACAAGTGCAATGTACTAGAGCACTGATCTAAAAATGATAATTACATTGTGATATTTGAGGAAACTGGTGTCAAGTGTGCACAGGAATTAAGGTTATGACATTAAAATGCTGAACATTTTAATCAAATGAAATATTAGGTCAGCAATACTTAAGTCTCATGGGGATTTTGGGGCTTGTATCTCACATCTGTGCTCAACAGGTAGTTCCTCAAATGCTGGCACATACAAAAAGCAGCAGCTGATGCCAGGAAGTTGAGAGATGGGCTATTGTATTACCTGTGATTAAAAGAATCAAGGAAAATAACAACCATTAAATTAAGAGGACAACATGAGCTTAGATGAATTTCAGTGGCTGCATGCCTTCCTACAGTCCAAAAGTAAGTTTAAGCAAATGTTAAAGAGTAAACATACACAGTAATGAAGACCACATATTGCAATGATCATTTCACCTCCACCTGCTGCATGAGTCTTGATCACCATATGAGTTTAAATCACAGCCCAACTTGCTAGCGGGATGCCAGTTTGTAAAAAGGTTGAAAATTAACAGAAATTATAGAAAAAGAAACTTGCAAAGAAAGGCAAATACTCTTAAATCAGGTTGTATGTCTGGCTTCACAAGAGAGACAGCTGGGACAGTGGGAAAAAGACTGCAGAAAAAGATCTGTCTGGTCCTCTTGCTTGTAAGAAAAATACTGTGAAGTATTGTAACAAAGCAGCAAGCAGCTGTGCATCAGCTTAGCACTGTAGAGGGCACCACATTCTGCCTTTCCTCAGATCTACCAAAAAAGGTCAGCTTTCTAAAATCCCTGGGCCAGCAAGGGAGCCTGTGAGAGTATGGGAAATGCAGAGAGCTAATAACAAGTCAGCTATACAAATCTGGGGCACTGGGGAATCCCAGGTGAGGAGGTGGCAAAGACAAGGATATTGACAAGGGATCCTTGAAGGTCCTGTTTCTGTATCCTGTACACGTAAATACCAACCACTTGCCTGGCTCCTAGAACTCACCATCATGAGCTCCTAAGCATAAATTTACCTAGCGTGCCTTAAGCTGCTGAAGTTAGTTTTACAGGTGCTTAAATCCTTTATGTGCTATATTCAGTCTTCACTATAGCATAAAGCCTGACCACTTAAAATCCCAGAGAGCAGAAAAATGTGTAAGCCATTTCACAAAAGTGATTATTTTCAGTTATTTTCTTATCTGCATGCTGAATCAGAAAGCTCTAGACTCATCATGAGTAAATGCAGCCCCAGTCTTATTTCACCAGAGCTCTTCCTGCACATCAAGTATTATTTAGTCTTTGAAAAGATAAAAATGTCTATTACAGAGTTGTGGAATAAACCAGAAAGGAGCATCAGAAGTTTTAGGAGATACACAAATACACACAGAGACCAGGAGCAATAGCTGCAGTTCTATAGATAAATTTTACTTGTATGTCAGAAGCAGTAAGATTCGTAGAGCCTTAGGGGTTTTTTTATGCCCTTCTCAAATAAAACTACTCAAACTGTATACTCTTAGGTTTTCCATGGTCATTCTATCTAGTTTGTCCTGGAAAAAAAATAACAAAGGCTTTAAATCAGATCCCGTGTTTTTGAATTGCTGTTTGAAGCAATGAAACTGAAAACTAAGTTGTTAGACAGTAACTACGTGATACAAGTGTGGCTTTTCTATTAGCTTTACAAATGCACCTAAAGAAATTAGGACTTAATTTCTTAAAACAAATTACATTCGAGCCTTCTTGTACATCTCTTGTACAGCTGCTGTTGTTTTATTTGAGGAACAGAAGAAATAATCATGACTTCAAATCTTTGCCCTGGAAAAGGACATGGCAAAATGCTGATAGATACTGATGAGGCAGTAAACTAAGAGCCTTCTACCACAGAAAGTTGGAACATTTGACAATGTAATGTAAAAAATGTTAACAGCTATCACGTGAGGATGTTGGAAGGCATACACAGAGGCACACATGTTGCAAGAAACAGAAAATAATCTCTCTCAATCTGGAAGTGCAGGGAGCAGAATACACTTGCATATGTAAGACACCACATGCATGTTATATACTAAATACAGCATTATGCCACATCTTTTCATATAAACTGCTATATTCACAGAAGGGTATGAACCGAGCCATTTCAGTTACTCTCTCGATTCTAGTGTTACCTTCCTTATGAAAAAAGTAGTTATCCAAGCAGAACATTCCCTGAGTTGACACAGAAAGTCGATAAAAGCTGATTTTCATTTGGAAGTCTTCATAATTTACCAGGAAAAAAAAAAGCCACGCAGAGTTTGCTACTGTGCTAGTTTTAGGCATTTTAGTGCTTTATATTTGTATGTATGTAACTACATTGACAGTGTAATTACATCCTAAGAAAGCAAGACCTCACAAAACTGTCTATGATCTAATCCCAATTTGGGAAAACTGTTTTCTTATACTTTTCCTGAAGAGATCTCTCCAATTGGAATCCCATTCACATCCCAGGGTGAAAACACAGCCAAAATATATGCAAAGTTATGAAAGCCTACTGCATAACATCAAGAAACTGCTGATTTCACAACCATCACAGATTTGGGGACACAAAGAGAGCCAGAGACAGATGAATGCAAACAACCGTACACAGCTACATAGGAGAAAGGAAAAAACCCTCAAGTCAGCCACAGTCTTGCTCTGCACCCTGCTGAGATCAGTTTGCAGATGAAAGTGAGAAAGTTTCACCTGGCCTGGAACCCTTTAAGGGTTTCCACTGTATCATTTTGCAGAGATGCTCTCAAACCCAACCTGAAAGAGGAATCAGTATTTATACTCTGCTTACTTCTAGTAATTCACAAATGTCTAGCTATTTGGATTGAAAAATATAACTTGTTTACATAAATATTTTCAACATCCAAGAAAATGTACAAATCTAAAGTTAAACACATTTGGCTTGCAACAAGCCCTGTTTGTAAATGTCTTTATAAAGGCTCAGTTTTGAAGAAAAGTAGTAATTTTAAATACAACCAATATACAGCAAATGCCATCCCATTGTATAGAGACACTCACCATTCTTCTACCCTTCCAGTGAAACTGAACGATAACATTCCATGTCTGCTTGTAAGCAACATATACCTTGTTTTGGTCCTGCCACCCCTATGCCTTGGGGCGGTCTTTTTACAGCTCAGAGAAAGCCTTGCACCCGAAATATTCAGCAGCATTGTGCAAAACCATGATTTAGTCCCCAAGGCTTTGAGTTGACTGTGTAAAAGTGGAAAACCATGAAGACATAGCTGATTTTGCACTTGTGAAGGCTCCTCCAACTGACTGACCTGCATTACAAACCAAAAGGAAGAAGATCAGTAGTGTAGTGTTATCATCACTAAGCTACAAAAAAGAACTACATAAAAAAAACCCTAAAAATCACACATTTAGTTGTCCAATTTGGGATTTAAAATCCAAGTCCAGGGTCTGTCAGAAAATATTCAGAGAACTTGAACACACTAGCTCAGCAGAAATGACCTACGTTGCCTTAGTCGCCAGACTTTGGGCCAAAAGGTGCCTTGCCAGAGTGTACAACAGCAAGATGTGTAGAAAGACTCCAGTTGAATAAAAGAGGAAGCTAAACAATTTTTGGCAAAGCTACTGCAGAAATACTATCAGAGTTTTCAATGGAGAACTCACATTATCCCGCACTGCAGGATGACAACGTGATGTCACCCCTGTTCAAATGCAACAAGTGCTTTGACAGAAAGTTACAGACTATTGCAAAAAATGACACATGGTCTTCTGCTGATTTCAAGCAGCTCTGGACAGTTTCAGTCAAATGACATAAAAATGAGAACAGCTCAATGCAGAAGGTGCTGTGGTGGTGGTGTGGTCTTAGTATTTCCAGATTACATGAAAGCTTGTACCTGAACATTGCTCTTCCCACATTCATCTCCAGCCCACACTGGGAAATTAATTTACACTAGTTATTTCTCTGGCTGCTTGTCTTTCCACTACCACACAATATAGAGGGCCTCAGTCAAGAGCTTTACCCCTCAAAATGCTGCTCTGTTTTATATGCATGTTATAAAGCACACTTGGATTAGAGTGAAATATAACCAAGATACAGGATGCTTCTTCAAAAAAAAGCTTAGGTACAAGATTGTTTTAAATAAATTTCTTACCTACAGCTTTTCCTGTTTGTACAACATTTCGGCTAGTAGAAACCATCACATTTCCAATCTTCTTTCCACGTTCACTGTTTTGCACAGAGCTAAACGAGAGATACTGAAGACTGTTAGTTGACTGCCTTCTTTTTACTTCCAGGTATGAGAAAAATACATAGTTAAAGTACCAATACACACAAGTTTACATAGCATTCATCTATATGTGTGTGTATATATATCTGTATCTATATATAGATATCTATATATAGTCAAGGCCGTAATTCCTGCAATGCATCTTATCTATCCATCTGGATCAATTAGGCCAGCTTCTCAGAGGAAGAAAAGATACTGTCAGCATGACAGGAATCAAAGTGCCCAATGGTTCGATCTTATACAACACACTTTATACCTTTCCTAAATGTTTACTAAAGTGCATTTATATTTTAAATTACAAAGTCAGATTTGCAGTAGTTTTGAGAAGTTTTGGCCCCAATATATACAAGCTTTAAACAAAACAGTGTTACTGATAAGTCATAACTTTTTTTTATAAAAAGTGTTTACTTTGTAACTTGCTCCAAGATTAAATTTTTTATCAAGTACAGTTTACATTCCTTTTTCCTGCTTTTGTTGAAGAAACACAAGAAGACAGCAGACATTGCCATCATTTGGAAAGAAAAACAAAACAATCAGTTCTACTGCATACGTGTGATCATTGAAAATAATCTCATTTTGTTTTAAATTGTAACATTCAAATCCACATTTAGGCTTTGCAGACCCATTTATGTAAAACTTAACACATCATGCCACATCCGTTTCCCATTTGCAAAATCTTCTGTGTAGGTAAAAAAAGCAGAAAGAACAGAATGCACCAAGAACAAGTTTAGGCTCAGTTTGCAAAAGCAAAGTAATTTTGATGGTTATCTGATAACAAGGTCCCATCTGGAGAATAAAGGCACCGTTGTAAATATATTTATTATTAGAGACACACCAAGTACGGGTCCCTTTACATTGGTTTCAGGCTATTCAGAGGAGTTAGTATCTCCCCTTTCCAACACAAAAATAGGGCAAGTAAAAGATTATAGACACCTCCATATCTTGCAAATTAAGTCTTTCTACAAAGACCATCCATTAATAATAAGAGCTCCTATCAGCATGCACCTTATTGAAGGCAGTTACCTTGAGATAAACCTTGATTTATTTGCATTCTCAATCACCATCATGGAAATTTAATCTGTCGTTGGTCAGCAAAAGCATCAAAAAGATTCAGCAGGCTGCAGTCTTAACCTTTTTATTCCTCAAGCTGTTTTTCTATATTAGCATGTGTTTTAGGTCTACTCACAGTATACTGAAAATAATGGTGTACAGTCAAGGCAGGTGCAGAACCAGCAGCGTGATATTGCTGATTTACAGGCATCTTAAAGAACCAGTCTCTGATGTTTTACAGTCAACACAGCTAAGGGAGAAAACGATCCATTTTGCTTGGTGCATAAACAAGAAGAGATAATTCACTGCAACTCCAAGACTGGATTCAGGCTTCAGTTAGAGCTGCGCTGCTATGGGAATGTAAAAAGCACCAAGGAGGTTTAGACTTGAATGCTACAGGTAAGAGCAGAGACCACCTTAAAGTTCAGTTGAGCGTAGTGCAATAAGAGATCATGTAAAGCTCATTTTAAACTTCTAAACTGAAGGAACTGAACCATGCCTCAGTACATATCCAGTGAACTTTGAGGGGTTTAGAACAATGTTGTATTAAAAACCAGCTAATTAAGGAAAAAAAAGGCTGTTTTGTCCTAATACTGAGACTTGATGTCAACATACAGAAGACCACTGATGAAAGTTTCATCAACTTTAGTTTACAATTGAAAAATAAATATGCAAAAGCCTTATAACCACAATGAAAAAAATCAGGGCTCTATTACATCAAGTCCAACACAAAATAGGGCATTAGCACTGTTTTTCCCTATTTCAGGCAAATGTTTAATCTTTAGATGTGGTGATGTTCTGCAGAGAATGTTGACTATAGTTTCATGTACATGACCAATTTAAATCATTATTTTGTTTAGTTTTAAATCATTATTTCATTTAGTTCATCACAGCAAATGTTATTAATATAGTTAGAAATATTTGACCACACTGTTTTTTAAAAAAAAGTAGATTAAAGTACTGTATACTTACTGTGACAATCTTAACTTAACATCTGATACAGAGTACTGTCCCTGGAACGGGTGGCTAGAAGAGGAGGAAAAACCCAAGAAAACATTAAGTATTTATTTTTTTCCACTACGAATCCATATTATTACAATTATTAGTTGTACTCTGTGGCTTACAAAAAGGAAAAATATTATTTTGTAGCTATACTACTCTGTCACTTTATGAAAGGCTAGGTCCTACTGATGATTCAACCTTAGATTTCCTATGAACTACCTGTAACGTGCCTTCTATTTACAGACCGGATATTGACCATCTTTTCTAGCAGCAGAAAAATAAGCAAAAAAGGAAACAAATAAAAAAGGAAAAAGAGCAGTCTTCAGACTATAGCAGCTGACAAAGCAAACAAAACTCCCTGCAGTACAGTAATAACCCATGCTAAACAGAACACATGCACAGCCAGCAGGGTTACCAAGGTCGGCATCATCTAATCTTTGAGTGAAAATACACACAAAACAACCCAAAGCATAGAAGATGCAACATACACCAGCCAGCTCCCCTCCATCCCCATCAGTGACAAGCCTGGACACAGCTATTCCCTGAACACCTGGAAGCAACTAATAAAAAGCAGAACCATCTGAGGACAGTTCCTGAGGAATGAGACCTTCTGCAGCTTGGGACAGCCAAAAGTCAACCTGAACAAGTTTCACTTCTCCCGACTCTGGATATATTTTCCTTCGTAACAGCTCAGAATTAGAGAAAGGTATAGATGAACAGAAATACTTCGTTTCTGTACTTACAGAATAGGGCCCCAAAGTTTCATGCTCATGGCTTTATAGCAGGAACAAGGGAAAAAAGAAAGGGAGGGGGGGGGAAAAAAAAAAAGTTTCTTTACCTGGAATTTACCTCTGCCAGAGCCGGATGCTTGTTGCTATTCCATACTCTGTAGTTGTGGGTATTCTTCCAGGCTGCTACAAATGCTGTTCCAAAGTCTGATAAAGTCTTTTCATTGTCTGATACATTAAAATCAAGATGAGAATTTGCAGCAATTTATTAGAGATGTAATACACGACAAATTACTTTTTTTCTTGTAAAGAAAAATCAAAATTTTCCAGGCTCTTATCAAATCAAAGGCAATTAAAACTCTAGCACTAAAAACTGGGCACTTCAATAATATTGTATTATTTTAATTTCAAAGTGTTCAAATTTCAATGTCAGGACAAGAAGAAAAAAAAAAGCAACTTAAAAAAAATACTTTTCTTATTTTTAATTCATTTACAAAGTTCTAAGTAAAGAGGAAAATTTCCTCTGAGTTAAGACAAAAAATACTGAACTCCAGAAAACACAAGCTTATAAATCCTCTAGACTACATTTTTTACTTATGTGAATCCCTACTTAAGATCATGGCAGGAAGGGAAAGAAATGGAACAGCCTAATAAAACTTCCTGAAAACAGCCACCTAACTTCACCTCTCCTTGAATCCAATTAGTTCCCCAAAATTAACTTCAGGTTGCAACATAGTCTGTAAGACACTGAAGCTGTAAAAGTCTCATCATATATGGGGTTTCAGGTACTTCTACTTATGAGGAAAGCTTAATTAAATCAAGGAGAAGGAGACAGTCAACAAAGAAAGTCTCTGTAAGGTGGTGAAGTAAAAAAAAGCAATAAGCTTGTCAAACAATGACAAGGATAGGCAAGGACAACTGAAAAAGCAGTCTAAAATGAAACATTAGGCAGAGGGAGATCCAATGATAGGCCACACATTTAACAGAGTAAATGCTTCTTACACCCACCCTCATCTCAGTCCCCAGACAAGGTATTTGTTCTACCTGGCTGCAGCACAGCAGCAAGCAGTGCATGAAGATAAGCGCTGAACTGAGCCCTGATCCACTCATCTCCTCCTTCCCATCCGGTGCCATCAAGGAAAACATCGTCTCTGTTCTCAGTTACATGCTTCACCAAGTAATCTGCAAATCTGAGGTCAGCAGTTGTTGGGTTCAGGATCTTGCGGAGTTCTGGATCGTGAATTTGTACGTGAGCATCTTCTATCTGTTGGAAATAAATGCAGAACCTTATTAAATTTGTATAATTTGTTAGGATAGGATTAGATAAGCTGTGCAAAACTAATACTTGTTTTTCTGTGTATTATTATATCCAATATTAGAATTTGCAGGGCACTTTAAAAAATTTTATTTTGTTGCTGGTGTAATTTTACTTTTCATGTCATGGGCTTTTTTCATGACTTTGTAATAAGGGCTTCAAAAATAAGTGCTTGCAGCTGAGAAACTGATACAATTGGATAATAAAGCATACTGCTATTGGCTTCCTTCTGATTGAATCAAGAGGTTAAAAAAATATCTAAGAAAACACTCAGTTCTAGCAAATAGATTTAACTATATAATCAGCATTTGGTGAGCTACATACAGGTAATCAATAAACTGAAGCCGCTAGGCAAATAGATGTAAGCACCAAACTTTCCCTGCCAAATCCTGTCAAATAAGCAGTTGGGAAGATGACCGTATTCTGGTTATATCAGAACAGTACCTGACTTTCTGAGAAGAGTTAATTATTTCTTTGGCCATTTGTTTCTTCTTGATATTTTTGGAGACTGTGGGTTTAGATTTAGGTAGCAATAGATAAGCAGTTTTATTTATTTAAATGTTTACCCTTGGAATTATTTAAGAATTTATTTCATATGGAAGTAATTCAACATTTGGGCATGAATGTTAAACTTTAAAGCTATATTTGAGATGTGGCCTCTGCTTCTCCCCAGCCAGCTCAAGACATTGAAATGCAAAGGTTCGTACTTCCACAACTGCATCACTCAGATACTTCTGCTGACGGAACAGGATGTTGGTGGCTCCCGCAACAAAGCCGCGGACTGTTACATCTGAGAGGAGATGATGCTGCTGCAGCGCCATGTACGGCAAACAAAGGTATCCCTAAAGTAACAGGGAGATTTACAGGATTAATATAAAGCAAAAAAAAAATTGTCCATATTCAGAGTTTCTCCCAATAATAGCTAGCACATTCCACCCAGAATGAACCTTGGTTATTACAACTTCAGCCACGATTATCTATTGCTTTGCTATGTTGCATCTGCAAAGCAAAGCAACCAGATTCCACAAGCATTAGATTTTGCAAGAGGTTGTGTTGCCTCTCAGTCTCAGGACTGAAACTGAAATAAAATGCAAAGGACAGGAATCAAATGTGTTTATAAGACAACAGAATGAGTAGTATAAAACAAGAGTGAGGTCTCAGGTCAGTTCAGAGACACGAAGTCAATGGAAATCAAGATTAATCTCTCCACTTGCATACCATGATGTTTTCTGGTAGTGCTGAGGCACTTAATGCAGGAAAGCTACAGACTGCTAGCCACAGTTTTGTAGGTGGAGTTTTCCAGGCTTCAGAGATAGCAATCAATTTTTGATAAGCACGCGCACGCCAGCTTGAAGAAAGAGCAGGACAGAAAGCAAAACACTGCCTTTCAGCCACTCCATACTTGCAAATTAATCTAATATCCTACATTCCAATTAAACAAAACCCCAAACATTTTGAAAAAAGGCTCTGAGGTTAAGTCATTGAGGTATCATTGAGAAGCAGCTGTAGTTATTGTAATTTTTTTTAAAATGTAAGATCAATGTAGCCCTGAAGTCTAATTCCAGCTGTTCAACTGCATAAAGCACAAAGCAATTTATTCACTAGAAGAAACCCAGAAGAGCTCATGGCATACTGGACAAACAAGGAGCACGTGCACTTTATCACGCAGTACATGGTAATTGGAAACACATGGAAGAAAGGAGCACAACTATTCCCTTTCATTAGACTAGGCACGGGGATGGCTTTCCAGATGACAAGCACTTATCAGTTAAAAATAAACAGCCTGTGTCAAAGGAACAACGGTGCTTTGAAAGGAATCACCAACCTAAAATGGAAAATTTTCTGAAAATGTGGTTTAAGAAGGTGGCAAAGGAAGGTTTAGTTACTGTATATTCAAGCAGTGAAGTCCTGGAAATCTTTCACTAAAGTATCAAGTTCCCAAATTCACATTTGTCTGTAAGTATAACAACTTCTATTTTCACGAACGTATTAAAAAGAGTGCAAATGAAACGAGTATTAGATCTTACAGAACTGGTACCAAAGAAACAAGTATCAAAAGCTATTTTTCCTTATGCTCAGGTGTACTTGGATAATGCGTTGTGCCATCTGGCAAAATCTCCTCCCATTCAAATTTGCCAGGTTTATTAAGTCTTTCCGTGGCACGACATGAAACAACCCTGAGATGAGAGCACTAAAAGAGATTTAAACTTTCCAGTAAGTGGTTAAACTGTAACTTGGAACCACATTTTTTCTGATAACTTAAAGAGTTGTAGAGCCTTTTCTACTTTAATTACATTGGATAAATTAAAATGAAAAGTACCTTTCTGGAACAGCAGTTAAACAAGTAGAAATCGTCAGTTTCCTTAAAATTGTTTACTTTTCCATTTTATGAGCTTAGTGGCAAAGTAAGTATGCACTGGTAGGCTCCCTTCTCAATTATTTTTATTTTCTTCTTGCTTTCAATCTAGTATTTTCAATAGACCTAGACTAAGCATAATTTACAGGCCATTCTTTTCTTTAAACAGACCATAAAGACAAACACCAGACTGCAGATTGTTGTTGAAAAAGTGTTTCTAACAGTGACGTGAGGGCAATGACATCTGACCTCCTCACTTGGGCCCACATAGCACATAATTTCCAGCGAAAGTTATTGTGAGAAGCCCAAACACAACCATCAAATACAATGTTCTGCAAGAAAATGCAAATAAGCACCTCCAAAGGAAGAAACATCACTTTGAACCTCATCAGCTTGAGGAAATAAATCTGAATCATCTACTTTCTGGGCAAATGTTAATCTAAAAAGTTATTACATTAAAAACAAAATAAAAAATACGTATTAAGATATCACTTATTTTACTAACAAAAGTATTTTTTAAAGGGACACATTCTCCCTGGTTTTCATGGGAAACCAGCCCTACTAAATATACTACTTGTTATGTGACAATGTCCATCAGAGTTGTTAGCGACACTCTGGAATACCTGTAGTTCACTTAAGCATCAGCACAAGCTTAAAATTCTCCATCTCAGCACCATGCACATGGAAAGAGTCAAAGACAATTAAGAAGAGTTACCACGGAAATAAGGATGAAATACTTATATATATATTTTTATATTTTTGTGTGTACATATATACACATATTTATATATGGATTTTGTGCATATATATACACACACACACACATTTATAAATACATATACAAAAATAAAAAGAGGAAAACATAGGCTTAAGTGTCAGCTAAGATACTGTTTTCAGAATTTTAGTTTAGATAAAGATATCTAAACACTTCTTAAGTACTCTGATCTTGCCCCATATAGGTTAGATCAGCAATTCTTCAGAGTAAAAAAAAAAAAACACCAGTGGTTACTGATACGTACCATTAACTAATCACAGTGGGGTTGCAGTGAACCATCATGTAGAATTGCAAACAATGTACATATACATATAAAAGTGCAATGCATGTGTGCATGTACACACGCCTCTTGGATGTGCACTCATGCTTTCCACCTGCCTAGGAACACAATCACTTGCCAGAGACTGTACTTACGTGTTTTGTAGTACCCTACTGTCCATGTGGCGTTGGGTAACCAAAATTACTAGCCACTTCTGAAAAACAGATGTCTTTATGAGTTACCAGGTATCATGGACAACATGTTTACCTTTGTAAAAATAGCCAGTGGCATACCATACTGGTCCTCTTCTAACCCAGATATCAGTCCTGGCACAAGCACTGCATGTCCTGTATTGGCTTGGGGCTGCACAGTGATTGGAAGGCTTTCTGAGCTCATCCCTTTGCCCGGAAGTTTTTCAGCCTGTTCTGACGCTGTACTTTCACGTTCTCCTTCCTTCAAATTAGACTCCTCCAAAATGCTAGGATCTAAGGTCTCCCAGTCACTTTCAGAGGACACTGGAGAGGTGTGGGAAGGAACTTTCAAGTGCTGCACAGTACCACTGGAGGACTGAGCTCCATTGCAAGTCTTCTCTGACTGACAGAAAGGCACGTTTGCTTTTTGACCTTCCAGTGAATGGTTTCCTGCCATCCTCCTGTCTCCATTTCCCATTCCTAAGTTTGTATTTGAAATATCAGCAGCAGACACAGAAACAGAGTCATCTAACCGTGATGTATTTTCCTGCAAGCCAACATCTTCTGATATGCTCTTTCTTGGTCTATACTGTGAGCAGTCAGTAAGACCATGTTCAATCATACCTGCAAAGTGATAGCATTCATGAGTATCAACTTCTCAATAAAAACTGTAGTTACTTTTGTTAAATAAAATGAACAAAGTGCTCATGTGCATAGTGAAAATCACATATTTTCAAACACTGCTTTGGGGGGTGGGGGCAGGGAAGTGTGTGTTAAAAAAAAAAACCTCAAAAATCTCAAACCCCACACCTTCTCCTTAAGAATCTGTCCCAACTCTTGCTTTAAGACTGGTTAGAAGCCAAGAATTAGCAAAGATAGGAGTTTTGGTTTTGTCTGTTTGTTGTTTGGTTTTTTCCTTTTTCTCCTTTTGAAAGCGCATGCAGAAGGAAAAGAGGTATTTGGTTTGGTGGGGTTTTTTTAAGGAACTTGACAGGAATATTCAACTCATTCAGGGTCCTACCTATATTACCACTAGGCAATACAAGAGATCCTCTGGTTCCGATTAAGCACAGGAAACAACCCATAGAGTGCAAGTAGTAAGTATTTGGAGATGTGTACGTAGCACAGGGACACCCATCTTTCAGGCAACATACCAACATAACTCTACCATCATATAAGTTGATTTCCAAATGAAACAGTACAGCCAGTGCCACTTATCACCAGAAAACATATAAAAGGAAGTCCAAACTTCTTTTTCTTACCA